TAATCAGATCGATTGGCCTCAGACAGTCCACCCAGCTAGTAACGTCTATGATGTCGTCAAGCGTCTCTCTACTGGGCGGCCCCCACCTCACACAAATGGCGTAGTATACTTCCTTGAAGCGGGGCGCTAAGCCCTCCTAGAGCGCGTAAAGTGTGTGGTCCACTGCTCTACTCAAACGATCCACGCTCCCATAGGTCTGCCCTATCACGAAGGTAGGAAGTCCGAATCGCCAATCCTCTCTCGTGTAGAGGGTCGGATGTGGTGGACCGTATACCAAGCAGCTCCAACTCGTCCTCCCTCCAGAGAGTCTCGCCAATTGCTGATTAACGATCACTCTGGCCAACGACTCGCTTCTCCACCAACTCCTGCTCGCCCCTGCGAGCGTCAGTCCTATCTCTAAATCGTGTGCTCTRTCCGCTATCAGATGTYCGACCCCTTCTAGATCATGAGTCCTCTCGGGTCRTTCGTCTCGTAGTATYAYTGTCCAAAGGAAGAGCCCCTCTGCGAGCCACGTYCCCAAGTATCGTATCGGTACACGCTCTGCCTCTTCTAACGCCACAGGAAGTGGTATGTCGTATCCAACCGCCGTCTCTCTGGATCCCACAAGCTTCCTCACACTATACGATTCGGACTCTCGTGAGAGAACATAAGCTAACCAGGCCACTGAATCACTCCTCATCTCTTCTCCTACTCTCGGTCAGCATCACTCTACTCCCTCCGATGCACCCCATCTCTCGAYGTTGCTAACCCTTCAGACAACTCTCGCACTCAGGTCCAGTATGGTCGAGGAGGATCAGTAGCTAAGCTCACTCAACCGTCGCCCTAATGTGCTCCTCTACCTCCTACGCCCGGACAGCTACTCCTATCCTGGGAAAATGGGCGTCTGTAACGTCAATCTCCTCCTCGTCAACCTCACTCTCTGGGTCGACCCAGTCTGGCTCCCAAGCGTCCTCGTCGTCCTCTCGCTCCTAACCCTCGTCGTCAAACTCGTCCTCGACGCGGTATGGCGCCTGTCCTATACCCTGGTAGTATTCCGCCAACTGATGGCCGTATATCAGAGGTCGCGCGGCGTCCTCACCCACCAGCTCTCCCAGTCGTCTGAGAAGAGCCGCTTGATGCAGGTCATGTACTCGGGGCCTGCTCGGAGCTCACGGTCTAGCCAATCCCAAACGCACAGAGACTGGGGCCACTCGTCGTCTATCAAGCGGATCAGCTCTATAAGCTGAACCCTCTCGTCTCCCCAACGAGGCCCACTGGTTGCGAGTGAATAATAGATGTAGTCTAGGTCGGCAGGCCTTCTCGCCAGGATCTTGAGATCCTGATAGGCCAGGTATGTCTCGACCACTCCACCAATACCTCCAAAGACGCTCTCTACTACGAACGTCGAAACTATCGCCCGCAGGCTCCTAACGTTGTACGGGAAAAACCCGTCCCGTGCTACCACCAGCTCGCCCGTGATATCAAGAGGAGGGCGTCTGTGAAATAGGGTCAACSGGTCGCTCGAGTCCTCCGCTCGGAAGGCAGCTACCTCTTCCCCTAGGTAGTGTAACGCCCTGCTAACTGTGTCACTCGTCCCTGTCGTCCCGAGGCCCACCACGGCCTCCCTGACCGCACCTGGTCCCAAATACAAGTAGGCTCTCACTACGCTCACTCCTTGCCCTGGCCGGTGCTCTCTGTACGTCCAAGGCCACACGTCCTCGGACAAGATTATGGACCTCCACGCAAACTGGTCGTCAACGTGTCGAATGTTGCACCCGGGGATCGTGAGCTCCACCAGATCCCCCTCTATGAGTTCAGGGGGCTCTAAGTCCCAGTCAATGGTAGCCCCATAGACCTTTACTTGCACCCGCGGCCACATTCAACTGGCGGCTAGAGAGAACGCAGCAAGAGGGAGGTGTAGATTAATAACTGAAAATTCCCGTCGCTTGCCTCACGCCTTCGGGAACAAGCTAGTAGGTTCACCCGAAACTAGGTTACCGCAACGTCTCTTTCCCTTCTTCTTCTAGGGAATTCTTTTGTATTTTTCAATTATAAATTAAAGAAAATRTATTTAGTTAAGATAAAATTTCTTTCTTAGTTTATATATATTAAGGATCAATACATATATAAGCCCGCCGAGTTTGATGATTTTTAGGGGTAGAAATAAAATTTGGGGAATTTACTAAAATTTCGGTAGCGTTTCGCCTCCCCCCGTTGGGATGGGGTTCGGGCGAAGCCCTCAAACAGCGCTACCGAAGAGGGAATATCAAAAGGAATAATGAAAAAAAAGGAAAATTGATTTAACTCGATTTTTAAATATTTTTGTTAATTAGTTAGCAAAATTTTTTAATTAAAAGGGAAATT